AAGGGTGCACTCAGCGGTCCTCCTCTAAATTCACACATTGGTTACAAAAGACCACATGGACTGTTGCATAGACGTGCGAACTAAATGTGAGTGCATCGAGGCCATATAGTAGCAAAGGGAGCATTTGTGAGCAAGCGTTACACCCTACAATCTCAGACTTCACCGAGAAACAGGAGTAAAGGATGTAAGATCACATCATAATTCACATGAAAGACCCTTTAAAGCACATTTTTGCAAATATTTGGGAAACTCTCATGGAAGCTATTTTTTTTTTACATTGGCCCTCAAGAGCAGGACTGTACACCCGTGAAAAGTAATGTACGTGTACCAATTTTTGTGAGCGAAATCCAGTCATTATAGGAATGACGTGATTGGGAATTTTGTGTAAATGCAAAGGATTTTTCCCATACAGATTTCACAACGGGTTCAAGTTGGTCATGCCGATTCGCCATGCATTCTCATCCTTTGGTGTACACCATATGACATTTTGTTGAAATCTTACGCACATGGCATCCTTTAGCGTCAATATAACATGCACTGTTATGGGTAGGTTTAGGTCTGGGGTAGGGTACGGTTATGTCTTTATTCTTGTCTGAAGTATAAAATCATTAGTCACCCGTAAGCCAATCACATAACGCAATCACCTCTCTCTCCAACTTAAACATCACCTCCATTCAAAATGTTTAACAAACACTCTTCTTGTTCGGGCTTCAGTTTGCAAATGCCGGGAATATTCTCCACAACAGAGCGAATTGCATCCCGTATCTCCATATCCGCGGTCGTTTTCGATTTCCCTAACCTAAAATACAATCTTAAACTCGGCGCTTAGCGTCTACGTCACGGCTCTCAGCCCGCCCTCTGTTCGTTGATCGGCCGGCTGTTTTCCGGCCGGAGGAAAACTGAGAGATAGCTCGCTATCTCAGACTGAGTACAGAAGCGAACTGAAATTGAGCGGAAGTACGAAGTCTGACGTAGTGTGGAAATCTGAATAATATTTTCAAAAAAAAAAGTACAATTACTTACTGTGAACATCACCTCTTTGTTTCTGGGTAATGTCTTTGATGCTGTTATCAATTGGCGTCACAAAGGGGATTAAAGGTCTGCGTGTTGGGATAAAGGGAACCGCCGCTGTAACCACTGGGGCCTTTGTGGTAGTTCTGGTTGTGGGGCGGAACGGGACCTTGGGTTTGGTTGTCACCACAACAGGGGGTTTACGTGTCGGTATGAAAGGCCTACGGGTTGTAGTCGCTGGGACTCTCGCTGGAGGGGTGACTTTCTTGGTTGGAGGAGATTTAGTGGTGGTTGTTGTTGTAAGTGAAATCCGTTTAGCTGTCACTGGTGGTCTGAGTGTTGTGGTGGTTCTCTTTTGGTCTGAGCCTGGAATTTTGTTGCCCCCTTTGTTGTCATTGTTGCTTGGCGTGGTCTTTCCAGGTCGTGGAGGGTCAATAACCACTTTTGGGATAGCTAAAAGGAGAACAAACAGGATTCTCAGTTTAATTTGAAGTTAACAATCAAGTCTCAACCTATTTTTATTCTCGTGTTGAATAGGTCTTATCTGGTTTAAACATTTTTGGGAAATGGGAAGTCTAAATGAGGCCCAATGGAAACGTCACCATTCATATTTTAAACGAAACTGAAAAGGACACTTTTAGCTCATATGTACAATGAATGCACGAAAGGCATCCATCACATTCGAAATCAATACCAGAAGCGTAGACCCTCGCGCTTGTGTCATTCTTAAGGAGGGAACACTAAAGGAATGAATGTGACAATGCTATCTCAGGTTTCACAGGAGCTTTGATATGTGATTCCCAAAAAGGCAGTTATTCAACACTTCCAGCTCTTCTGAGTCACACCTGGCTGAAAGTTTTCAGAACAGATGCTAAGGAGGGATGGGTTGCCTCATTGGTTTAACGATGATTAAATCAGGTGTCAGACTCACAACAACTGTATTTTTGTCCACTTAACAAATAATAACAAGATTGAGCAGGTTGCAACGATGCATGCATAATACTTCATACACAAAGCCACTGACAGTGGTTTGTAAAGGCAGTAGAGAGTGCATGTGAAGAGCGTGCAGCTGTGGTGTCATCAGATGCTCACGGTGAACCTCTCTTTGTTCACGAAAATTGAAAACAGGGCATCTATCAACCTCAAGTCACTCCGGACTAAAGGCACAGCAGACAAAAGAATTCCAGGCAGGGAGGAGATACGCACAATATTTTCTTTCATCAGATCTAAAGTGTAATAGCACCTAAAACCAGCACCTTTTTCGTACCATATACCCAGATATGTAATTTATTCATTTGAAAATATTGATCATTTCGAACAGTAAAGCCTAAAATAAAACATAAATAAAAGTGTGTGTGTGTGTGTGTGCGTGCGTGCGTGCGTGCGTGCGTGCGTGCGTGCGTGCGTGCGTGCGTGTGTGTGTGTGTGTGTGTGTGTGTGTGTGTGTGTGTGCGTGCATGTGTGCGTGCGTGCGTGCGTGTGTGTAAAATATGAATAAAAAATATTATATATACTCTACAGTTTAAACATTTGGGGTCAGTACTATTTTCTTAAATAAATTCATACATTTCTTCAAATTAATCAAAAGAGATAGTAAAGCCATTTATAATGTTACAAGACATTTCTATTTCAAATAAATGCTGTTCTTTTGAACTTTCTATTCGTCAAAGAAACCTGAAAAAAATGTGTCACATTTTCCACAAAAATATTAAGCAGCACAACTGTTTTACCATTGATAATAAGAAGAAATGTGTCTTGAGCCGGAAATCAAAATGATTTCCGAAGGATCATGTGAAATATTAAAAGGGAAATTAGAAAAATTATTAAATTAGAAAACAGTATGGCTATATCACTTCACATGGTTACACATTTTTCTGTATTTCTGTAAATATTATTTAAAAAAAACGTATTTTTATCCCAATCTTTTGAACAGCAGTGCTTTTTTTTCATATGCATTTTTACTTTTTGTTGTGCTACATTTTGTACCATTTATCATTATCTACAAATAGGCATTATAACCTTTGAGGGACTGTCCGACTTAATTCATTCCAGAGATTTTTTTGAAGGATTTCAGTGAGGACTCTGACGCCTCCGCTCATGAACATTCTCTTTCCTGTCATTCAGCCACTATACGCTCCATTGGGATTGTGCTATGGGATGCTGTCACATTGAAAAGGTGAACAATCTACCCATGTTCAACATCCTGGCTCCGGCTTTTCGTCAAGATTTTTCATCATCCATCTTCTTTTCTTACCTGACAAGTGCCCCAATCCCAGGCCAAGGGGAAAAACATCTACAAAGAACATGCATTCACCAGTGGAAACTGCAGTAATGGTTTACCTCAGTCTACCCTGTCACCGTTCAGTTTTTGCCTATAGCAAAGGCCTATAGCTCCATCAAAGTCCATCAATCTCCTGGCAGCGGCTGTGATCAGCCTCTTTGGTTGTCTACTTTCGAGGGACGCCCGTACGCCATCCGTCCACCTCTTAATGATAACCTTGCCTTAGCTTTTGTCCTTAAAGCATTTATACTAATGACTCCTGACTTAAGCCTTTCCAAACCTTTATCCTGAAGTGCCTTTGAAAGCACCGTTCCACCTTATTTTACTTTATACAGCTGCTTTTAATCTAAATTAATCAAAATCACTGCAACTGAGAACAGATGGGGACCAATTAAATTGTTGCCTGAGCTATAATGTGATCAGTTTATGCATGGAGTGTGTTCATTAATGCAAATGAGATATTTTTATTGTTGTGATATTGATTTTATTCTCAGTTTAAAACGTGTGCATTATAACAGTAACAAAAAGCAAACACTTTGAAGTGGATTTCAATATTCCATCGCAGTAATTCTTTGGTTTGCATACTTACGTTTGCAGTCGTAGCCCACGCCTCTGTAGTCATCCTTACACTTGCACTTGTATGAACCAGGTGTGTTATAGCAGGTGGCGTAGGGACCACACTGGTGTTGACTCGAAGAGCATTCATTCACATCTAAAGGACCATTAAAGCAGAAAGAAGTGCTTCTGTGAGATCAGGTAGATTTTAAAATAGATGTCATCAGCTCTGTTCCAAATCTAGTGAACAACACTAGCTTCTCTTTTTTCTGAACTCCTTAAAATGCCTTTATTGTAGTCTTGAGTTTTCTTTCGGGAACAAAAACGTCACAATATCCCTCATTTAAATAATTCCCACCCAAGGCATACGCAAAAAATATAAAATAAAGGGGCTTGGTTGAGTTGAGTTAGTAGTGTATTGAAACTAGTGGTTATGGTAAGGGGCGTGACATTTCCCAAACACGCTGGAAGCGATTGACCAATCACAACACACTGGTCCAGCCGACCAATCAGAGCGCCATTGTTCCTGGAAGAAGCACTAATTAAACGTCACTAATGATTCATGACTTTGTCCCTCCAAAGCCATTTCAGCCGAAACACGAAAAATAATTGTTGTTGTTGTTGTTGTTTTGGACGAATATTTTCGATTTTTGGTAGTCATGAGTTTTCTTTCGGGAACAAAAACGTCACAATATCCCTCATTTAAATAATTCCCACCCAAGGCATACGCAAAAAATATAAAATAAAGGGGCTTGGTTGAGTTGAGTTAGTAGTGTATTGAAACTAGTGGTTATGGTAAGGGGCGTGACATTTCCCAAACACGCTGGAAGCGATTGACCAATCACAACACACTGGTCCAGCCGACCAATCAGAGCGCCATTGTTCCTGGAAGAAGCACTAATTAAACGTCACTAATGATTCATGACTTTGTCCCTCCAAAGCCATTTCAGCAGAAACACGAAAAATAATTGTTGTTGTTTTGGCCGAATATGTTTTTTTTCGGGAACAAAAACGTCACAATATTCCTCATTTAAATATTTGCCGTCCAAGGCATGCGCAAAAATAAATAAAGGTGTGAGGCCCGGTTGAGTTGAGTAAGTCGTGTGTTGAAACTCGTGGTTATAGTAAGGGGCGTGACATTTCCCAAACACGATCAAAGCGGTTGACCAATCACAACACACTGATCCAGACGACCAATCAGAGCACAGTGTGCTTTTCAGAAGGAGGGGCTTCATAGAGACAGGAACTAAACAGATGTTACTGACAGACTGGGAAGAGAGGTGCCGCAACAGTGGTTGATCAAAAATAACATTCCAACATGAAAACCTCTTCTAGTAGACACCAAAAACTAAATCAAGACTTTATTAAAGGGCATAACATCGCCTCTGTAATGTTTTCAATAAAACATTTGTTGTTGTTGTTTTGGCCTAACATTTTCGGTTACCGAAATGTTGCTGCATCACTACTTAGCATAGTGCATACAGGTTAAAAATAGTTATTTTGATTAGCTAAAACAAGATATCACAATAACACGGCATTTTTCAACAGGCATTTTCTACTTGGCTCATCCACCATTGGATAGATTTTCTAAATGCATTATGGTTTATTGAGATGTCTTGTCAGTGAAGGACACATGCAATCATTTCTTACAATTAGCTAATGGAGTGCAGGATCTATTTTTATTTTTAAACTCAAAAAGAATGTTTAAAAAAAGGGGGCACAATATCATTTAAAACCTGAGCTTGGCACAAAATGTCTACTGTTGGCAAGAATGTGAGTTAAGTCAAAGATTTTCTTTGGAATTCTTCAAGACAAGCTAATTTTTTCTGTGTTTGAGAATCATCAAATCAAACAATGCTACACTATTCCAACAATTCACATGGTTTGAAAGGTTTTTGGATGTTGTCTATGAATGTAATGTTAATGTACACTATATCCACCACCAGCTTACCTGTACACTGAAATTTCCCGTTGATGTACTGCAGGTCAAAGCCATCATGGCACTTGCAGATGTAACTCCCAAATGTGTTGATGCACTTACGGAAACGGGGACAAACCGCATGACCCGTGGCGCATTCATCCACATCTGCGAAAAACAAACACACCAAACCATCATTTCTCTACTCTTTTTCAAGCTCCGGTTTGGATCAAAGTAAAAAGGTCAGCATCACATTGGTTCTGATCACCTCAAAAAGTATAGGCCTACTTATATAATTCATGATCCTTGAATTGATGTGTTGCATAATGCTGTCAGGATCAATTTTTGAGACTGGCTCATTGTACACTGTGATGTTTTGTGCTGCATTTAAGGTTTAACTAAACGGAGATCTGCATCAAGCAGTGTGTGAACGCTCAAACTCAACACTTATGTGTGCATGTACAGACATCCATCTAACAAAAGCTGCCCTCCTCGGAGCGATAAAAGTCCTCTGCTGAAATGCCTAAAGAGCTGAACACCTGTGCCGTGAAACATTAAGATGGTCAGTCTCATGATTTATGGTGCCCTTTTAAAAAACTCACACTGTTTTCTGCACTCCCCTCCTCATAGCCTCCAGAAAAAAGGCAGAAAAGTGGGGAAAAAATGTAAAGAGTCAAGCAAGACAAATGTGCGTAGAAGAGCATTAGGTTAACTGACTCAATTTGTCGCATTCCATTTGTGATTTAGTGATCTGTGTGGTGAAGATGTGAATATCCTCTTCTTCAAACTGTCTAGTTGACGTCTCTAGGACTACGGCACGCCATTAAAACAGTCATCAATGAACGCCACAATGACATTTCCAAGCACTTAACGCATAATTAGCGTATGAAACGAAAGAAGCACAGCTCTGTTGTCAAGGACTGGTGCGATCCGTACGGTTTTGTAGCGGGAGCGCAGACGCGAGTGAAAGCGACTGTTTTGTGACACGTTCGCAATAGCAAAGGTCTGTTGATCTTTTCTGACAGCCACAAAAAAACATGTCACACCTTCAAAAGATGACTAGACAGAGCGCAAAGAGATTGTGCTCATTCTTCTTTTGACTTAAAGGGGTCATGTCATTTTTTAATTTAATGGGGTTTTTTTCTGCCTGAAGTCTACATCGATTTACATTTATGCAAATCAGCAGATGCTTTCATCTAAAGCAATTTACAGTATTCAAGTTTCCTGGAAATGGCATTGCTAGTGTCATATTATTATTAGAAGTAGTAGTATTATTAGGAATGGCATTGCTAGTGTCATATTATTAGTAGTAGTAGTATTAATAGGAATGGCAATGCTAGTGTCATATTATTATTAGTAGTAGTATTATTAGGAATGGTATTGCTAGTGTCATATTATTAAATTGGCTTGAGAAAGCGGAATGCTATTTAAACAACTTCTTCTTCTTCTTCTGAGACAAAAAAATTCTGACTGCTATATTCCTCCTAGAGCTTTAAAGCTAGAACCACCAAACTCGGGTCAGACCTTCAGACTGTTCTGACGTATCATGCTAACAACATTCTAGCAATGTGCTAAATTATGCTAGCAAGATGTTAAATCATGCTAACAACATGTTAAATCATGCTAACAACATGTTAAATCATGCTAACAATATGTTAAATCATGCTAACAACATGTTAAATTATGCTAACAACATGTTAAATCATGCTAACAACATGCTAAATCATGCTAACAACATGCTAAATCATGCTAGCCATGTGCTAAATAATGCTAACAATAGGTCAAATCATGTAAGCAATGTGCTGAATCATGTTATCAGAATGCTAAATCACGCTAGAAACGTCCTAATCATGCTATGTGCTATATATATATATATTTTTTTATTATAAGAAAATTGATATAATAATGTATACATATTTTTTGTTAAGCGACGGCAGTTAAGCGACGCAACTGACGCTGGTAGATCACATAATAATGACAACATGGCAAATGTAGTACGTCCAGATTACATTCATACTACACACACTCATTCTAAATACAACATACTTGTTTAACGGTCACAAAGTAATTTCAAATTCAAATGTAGGCTATACCTGCTCACGAAAGTAGCTATGCGATTCCAGGCGCAGCTATGGTTAGAAAGTTTTTGTTCGGAAACGTACAGCATGTTCTCATAATTGTCACAATCCTGTTCTGTTTGGTTATTTCTGTCATGTCTGTATTGATTCTCAATAGTTGCTATGGTGTCTGATTGGTTCATCTCTGTCCAGCTGGTCCTGTTCAGTGTCCTCATTTGCTATGTGTAGGCTACTTATACTCCCTGTTCTGTTCAGTTGGTGTTATCAGTGTCGTACTCTTCTGTGTTTGCTGTTGGATTAAAGGCTTTTGTATTTGTTCACCACCATCTTCGTCGTGTGCTTCCCACAGTTAAAGTAATGCATTAGCCATGAACACATACCCACACAGGTCCTGCCATCTGGAGCGAGCTGCAGACCTGGAGACGGGCACTGGCAGCGAACCTCTCCTTTCATTACTTCACAGCCGTACTGGCAGTTCGCCATGCTGCATGTCCGGGCATCTGACAGAGAGATGCACACACCAGGTTTAGCACTTATGATACACATTTCCCTCCACGTATACATTAAAACACAGAACCACTCGAGTATACAAAGCACACTGTACATGGAAAACAAAATGTAGCAACAGATGTCCCATATATAGGCATCCAAGCAAGAGAACACAGACAAAAGATAAACAGCCATTAAATGGGGTGCAAGGCCACAGGTCGCAGAAGGGAAACACACTTTTCCATATTTAGCTTCATGGCCTTGAAGGAATCGAGCAGTGAAGCAGATAACCTTGGGTTATTAGATTGTGCAGTGATCTATTAGCCCCGCGGAGAAACATTCTCAACTAGTGTCGAGGGGGTCGTCACAGACAGCACAGCCCGTTTTACATCAGACGGAAACACTCTAGAGGAAAGAAGATGCCACATTGTTCCTGCTAATGCAGGTCGAAAAACAAAACAAAAAAAAACAACAAAAAAACTCAATTACTTTCTATAGTCTTGAAGGAAATGAAATGAGAAAGAGATGTTACACGAAACTTTTAAGTTCTTGTGCACTGCATAAGTAATAGATCTCAATTCTTGGCCATGTTATTAAAATATCACAGTAAAAATAAAAAAATAAAATAACATTAAAATAAAAGTGTGCTTGTTTAGTGTGGCAGTTTGAAGTAAGTTTTGAGTAATTATTGTTTAACATAAGTGTTTTAATTAATGTTTGACATTTAATTTTGAGCAATTTTGTGTATTTCGTGAATAATTAAATAGTTTATTATTATTATTATTATAAATTAATATTTTCTACATGATTTTTTTTTATAATTATTTTTTAAGTGCAGGTGGAATACGTTTAATTTTTTATTTATTATAATTTTAATTAAATTGAAATTGAAGTTTAATAATAACAAAAAATAATAATAACAAAAAAATCTAACAGACATTACATTAAGTCGGCATATTTGGCACTTACAGTATATGACGTACAGCGATGCAGCTGATTTCAAAAGAGCATTTTTTTACCATCAAATAACATAAAGTTATGAATAGTTTGAGCTTGTGTAGACTTTTATCAGATCAGCACCCAGCCTCTCCAAACTATGCAGTAATCTGCCATCTGAGCATTGACAATGATTGTACCACCCACGTCACCATACTTTGATTAACTCTGTGATTCAGTGGTGTTTGCTGAAGTGTGAGTTGTGGGAAGGTGAGAAAATATTTATCAGAGAGCGTAATCTTGAAGCCTCTGGAAGCACACTTAGCACCAGGCAAGCACAGGCACAGTCCACTTGGCGTAGGGAGGATAGCTTAAGGCCAGCAATAAGACTTAGCCTTAGCCTGGCAGGGTTGAAGTTCACAGCTTTCTCATATTTTTTTGTGAGTCACTTGAAAGCTTTCTGCAGGGTTGAGGGACGCCCTGAGCTCTTGGAATGATTTGTGTATGGCAGAAGAGACTATAAAAACACACATAAAAAATTCTAAATAAAATAAAATCCTGGAAGGAAAATTGTGACTTTCTTTTGTATTAAAAGAGAAAATTATTTTTTATAATAAATAAAATAATAAATCAAAACGAAAGGAAAGGAAAGAAAATTTGTGATTTTCAATGTGGAAACATTTCAAATTTCTTTTTTTCTAAAGGAAAAAATAAAACCTTTTAAAACAAAACAAAACAACAAAAACAAATAAATAAATTAAATAAAAAAAAAAAAAAATACAGAAGGAAAATTGCAATTTTCTCTTTTTCCAATGTGGAAAAATAAAACAATTTAAATGAATAAAAAAAAATTAAAAATCCAGGAAGACAACAGTGCTTTTTGTTATCTTTTTTAAATGAAACCATAAAAATAAAACTATTTTTAATAATCCTAATTTTATGTTGTCTGTATTTTTGCATTATCTTATTATTCTTTGTAAAGCTTTTTGGAACAATATACTATAAAGCCTGTAGAAATCCAAAACAAAACATACCCATTGTGGTTGACGACACTGCTGGTAACACTATCATCCGTTTCAAGCAAAGCGCTGAAGAGCTATTAAACCACGGACACAGTTGGACAGCACGTGTAAAACAGAGACGTAACTCACTTCCACAGCTCCCGTCAGGTAACAGCATGTATCCGTTCAGGCAGTAGCATTTGTAGCTCCCGTATGTGTTCATGCACCTGTGTTTACAGGGCCGAGGCTTGAGGCCACACTCGTTCAAGTCTGCAGACAGAAGAACAGAGAGCGGGAGGTCAGAACATCCTCGTGTGAGAGAGCCAGGAATTAGGCTTAAACCAGAGGTCAAATTTAAAAGGTCAATCCTTTTAAACCTGTGAGGCGGCGTCTGCTAGAAGAAGGTGAAGCCGCAGGCCACCGTGTCGGGACAGGCCCACCTCTGAGCGCCTCACTCCCCAGCACTTCAACAAACCTGAACTTTAGCGTCCAACACTACGTCTAACACAAAAAGTAACTTCTTCCTTTTGACAACTCTGCAAAGGTCAACTACGCACTCATTACCAGACTTTAAATATTTTAAAATATTCTAAACTTTGAAGCTGTTGAACTATTTCTAGACTTTAAACACTAACCTTACTGCCATATAGAGACAATTTGAACCATAACCACCTTAAAGGGATAGTTCGGCCAAAAATGATATTTAACACATGCATTACTCACCCTCAAGCCATTCAAGATGCATATGTCAATCTTGTTTCAGACGAACACATTTTCAGTTATTTTAGAAAATGTCTTAGACCCTTCAGTGGATATAATGTGAAGCAATGGGGTCCACCTCCTTCAAGTCCCAAAATGTGCATACATCCTTCACAAAAGTAATCCATCCGGCTCCAGGGTGATAAACGAAGGCCTTCTGAGGGTAATCCGTGCGGTTTTGTCGTAAAAATATACATATTTAAAACTTTATAAATGAAAATATCTGACTTCCGGCAACGATCGACGCGCGTTCACGGGTGATGGAAGTCGGAGGTGAACGCGCGTCGATCGTTGCCGGAAGTCAGATATTTTCATTTATAAAGTTTTAAATATGTATATTTTTACGACAAAACCGCACGGATTTCCCTCAGAAGGCCTTCGTTTATCCCCCTGGAGCCGGATGGATTACTTTTGTGAAGGATGTATGCACATTTTGGGACTTGAAGGAGGTGGACCCCATTGCTTCACATTATATCCACTGAAGGGTCTAAGACATTTTCTAAAATAACTGAAAATGTGTTTGTCTGAAACAAGATTGACATATGCATCTCGAACGGCTTGAGGGTGATTAATGGATGTGTTAAATATCATTTTTGGCCGAACTATCCCTTTAAAACTGTAACTTCAGGACAGCAGATTGAGTGCCAGACCAAATATATATATATATACAGGTCCTTCTAAAAAAATTAGCACATTGTGATAAAGTTAATTATTTTCCATAATGTAATGATAAAAATTAAACTTTCATATATTTTAGATTCATTGCACACCAACTGAAATATTTCAGGTCTTTTATTGTTTTAATACTGATGATTTTGGCATACAGCTCATGAAAACCCAAAATTCCTGTCTCAAAAAATTAGCATATCAAGAAAAGGTTCTCTAAACGAGCTATTAACCTAATCATCTGAATCAACTAATTAACTCTAAACACCTGCAAAAGATTCCTGAGGCTTTTAAAAACTCCCAGCCTGTTTCATTACTCAAAACCGCAATCATGGGTAAAACTGCCAAACTGACTGCTGTCCAGAAGGCCATCATTGACACCCTCAAGCAAGAGGGTAAGACAGAAAGAAATTTCTGAACAAATAGGCTGTTCCCAGAGTGCTGTATCAAGGCACCTCAGTGGGAAGTCTGTGGGAAGGAAAAAGTGTGGCAAAAAAACGCTGCACAACGAGAAGAGGTGACCGGACCCTGAGGAAGATTGTGGAGAAGGACCGATTCCAGACCTTGGGGGACCTGCGGAAGCAGTGGACTGAGTCTGGAGTAGAAACATCCAGAGCCACCGTGCACAGGCGTGTGCAGGAAATGGGCTACAGGTGCCGCATTCCCCAGGTCAAGCCACTTTTGAACCAGAAACAGCGGCAGAAGCGCCTGACCTGGGCTACAGAGAAGCAGCACTGGACTGTTGCTCAGTTTTGGATGTCATTCGGAAATCAAGGTGCCAGAGTCTGGAGGAAGACTGGGGAGAAGGAAATGCCAAAATGCCTGAAGTCCAGTGTCCAGTACCCACAGTCAGTGATGGTCTGGGGTGCCATGTCAGCTGCTGGTGTTGGTGCACTGTGTTTTATCAAGGGCAGGGTCAATGCAGCTAACTATCAGGAGATTTTGGAGCATTTCATGCTTCCATCTGCTGAAAAGCTTTATGGAGATGAAGATTTCATTTTTCAGCACGACCTGGCACCTGCTCACAGTGCCAAAACCACTGGTAAATGGTTTACTGACCATGGTATTACTGTGCTCAATTGGCCTGCCAACTCTCCTGACCTGAACCCCATAGAGAATCTGTGGGATATTGTGAAGAGAAAGTTGAGAGACGCAAGACTCAACACTCTGGATGAGCTTAAGGCCGCTATCGAAGCATCCTGGGCCTCCATAACACCTCAGCAGTGCCACAGGCTGATTGCCTCCATGCCACGCCGCATTGAAGCAGTCATTTCTGCAAAAGGATTCCCGACCAAGTATTGACTATTGAGTGCATAACTGAACATAATTATTTGAAGGTTGACTTTTTTTTTTTTTTTTATTAAAAACACTTCTTTTATTGGTCGGATAGAATATGCTAATTTTTTCAGACCGGAATTTTGGGTTTTCATGAGCTGTATGCCAAAATCATCAGTATTAAAACAATAAAAGACCTGAAATATTTCAGTTGGTGTGCAATGAATCTAAAATATATGAAAGTTACATTTTTATCATTACATTATGGAAAATAATGAACTTTATCACAATATGCTAATTTTTTGAGAAGGACCTGTATATAAAACATAAAAAACATTACATTATGAGACCAATTTTTTCACGATTTCTTTATTCTCAATTGCTGAATTAGTGTTATTGTTACTAAAACTTAAACTAAAATTATTCAAAATAATTTTCATATGTATATCATATATATCAGATGAAAACCCCAAAAAAGTTAAATTGAAATAAAGTGAGTTTTAAATATAAAAAGAATTTGAAAAAAATTTAAAAGTAAAGAAATATTAGAAAATATGGGGAAAAAATTTATAAAATGAAAAATAAAAGGTCATTTAAAATATGAATAAATACTATAATAGTATGCCAATAATACTAAAATAACACTGAATTGCTGACCTGAAAACTGTATTATTTATGTTTTCACTAATTGTATTTTTTCAAAATTTTACACATTTTATAATTGAGGATACTTCATTAATTAATATCCAGTGTTTTCTATTTTACAAAAGGAAAAGTCAGTGTGAAAATTTTGTAAACTTTGTGTAATTCTCCCACAGAAATAATGATTTATAATTTCATGTAAATAGTGAAACAAACATTGTATTTTCAATTAGCTTATTTTACTTTTTTAATTTTTAATTTATTAATTTTGATTACTTGGTAAATTATTATTTTATCTATTTATCCACAAGGTTAAGTGATTGTTTAATTGTTTATCCGTTACTCGAATGATTATTGCGTAGCACAAAGTAGCCCTCATTTGTTGAGAGCTGGGGAGAAAAAAAAATACAAGTAAGAGGTTTCTATCACCAAGGCAAAGAAAAAAACGATATAGTTCAATCCGTGCTCAAGCATATATCCACATGGGCCATCAGCTGGGCTACATATCACTTACATCTCAATATCATAAGCCACACAGCTAGGTTTATAGGCCAGACACGTAGCATGATGCCTGCAGTCTCGTTTGCACCGGACTGAAATAGATCCTCCTGGCTGGTGTACATGAGTGTCTTTGGCATGGCCCAGTTCTGAGAGAATGGCGCCATCTTTAGCGGTCGGTTATGCGCGGAATGCATTCTAGAGAAGCGCATGCTGGCTATATTTGACAGGTGGCACAGATTTAAATAGATGAATAGCAGTGTATTGCTGGTAATTGGCAGTGGTGGGAGGTCACTTGACTGGGATGATTAGCAGAGGTGTGCGAGGACAGCTACAATCACTGCCATTCATCTTACCAAGAGTCCACCTATAGGACCAAATCAATCTCTCGGTTTCAAAGTTGAATCAAAATCGAGTCTAAATCTTTAAAACCATTTTAAACCGTACAACATTCTTCTGTAAGTATACATTGAAGCTCTGAGCTGCTGAAGCCGTGATTACGCAGGATTCCCAATTAGGCTGCAAATCCATGATGTTCTTGTGGATTTCAGCTGGGCATTTGCAACACTTTGTTAATAGAAACAAGCTGAACTAGTTGGAAATGTGGCAAGACACTTCTATGAAGTGTTATGATAAATAGAAAAGTCTTAGGGGAAGAATCAAAGAGTAAAAGAATCTTTTTATATATATATACTGTATATATGAAACACAACAGAAGATATTTTGAAAAGACAAAAATGCTGCCTTTCTTTTTGCAGAGTTGCTCTTACAAACAAACTAACTGACAAACTGACCAAAACGGAGAATTTCCCCTCTCCAGTAACATCAAACCTGGCATGATGAGTCTTAAATGTGAAAATATGCACAATTTGAATTTATCACACTTGTTGCATGGATATTTTTTTTGGGTATTTATATGGTGTCATCAATTGAGCTAGAATTCATATTCTTTGGACAGACAATTATTATTATCATTATTACCACCATCATACGTCAAGATTATTATTATTATTAACAACATACACTCACCTAAAGGATTATTAGGAACACCATACTAATACTGTGTTTGAACCCCTTTCGCCTTCAGAACTGCTTTAATTCTACGTGGCATTGATTCAACAAGGTGCTGAAAGCATTCTTTAGAAAAGTTGGCCCATATTGATAGGATAGCATCGTGCAGTTGATGGAGATTTGTGGGATGCACATCCAGGGCACGAAGCTCCCGTTCCACCACATCCCAAAGATGCTCTATTGCAGGGGTCACCAACCCTGCTCCTGGAGAGCTAATGTTCTGCAGATTTTAGCTCCAACCCCAATCAAACACACCTGAACCAGCTAATCAAGCTGTTCAGGGTTACTTGATAATTACATGCATGTGTGTTGGAACAGGGTTGGAACTGAAGTCTGCAGGACAGTAGCTCTCCAGGAGCAGGGTTGGTGATCCCTGCTCTATTGGGTTGAGATCTGGTGACTGTGGGGGCCATTTTAGTACAGTGAACTCATTGTCATGTTCAAGAAACCAATTTGAAATGATTCGAGCTTTGTGACATGGTGCATTATCCTGCTGGAAGTAGCCATCAGAGGATGGGTACATGGTGGCCATAAAGGAATGGACATGGTCAGAAACAATGCTCAGGTAGGCCGTGGCATTTAAACAATACCCAATTGTCACTAAGTGGCCTAAAGTGTGCCAAGAAAACATCCCCCACACCATTACACCACCACCACCAGCCTGCACAGTGGTAACAAGGCATGATGGATCCATGTTCTCATTCTGTTTACGCCAAATTCTGACTCTACCATCTGAATGTCTCAACAGAAATCGAGACTCATCAGACCAGGCAACCTTTTTCCAGTCTTCAACTGTCCAATTTTGGTGAGCTCTTGCAAATTGTAGCCTCTTTTCCCTATTTGTAGTGGAGATGAGTGGTACCCGGTGGGGTCTTCTGCTGTTGTAGCCCATCCGCCTCAAGGTTGTGCGTGTTGTGGCTTCACAAATGCTTTGCTGCATACCTCGGTTGTAACGAGTGGTTATTTCAGTCAAAGTTGCTCTTCGATCAGCTTGTATCAGTCGGCCCATTCTCCTCTGACCTCTAGCATCAACAAGGCATTTTCGCCCACAGGACTGCCGCATACTGGATGTTTTTCCCTTTTCACACCATTCTTTGTAAACCCTGGAAATGGTTGTGCGTGAAAATCCCAGTAACTGAGCAGATTGTGAAATACTCAGACCGGCCCGTCTGGCACCAACAACCATGCCACGCTCAAAATTGCTTAAATCACCTTTCTTTCCCATTCAGACATTCAGTTTGGAGTTCAGGAGATTGTCTTGACCAGGACCACACCCCTAAATGCATTGAAGCAACTGCCATTGGTTGATTAGATAATTGTATGAGAAATTAAACAGGTGTTCCTAATAATCCTTTAGGTGAGTGTATAAATCAACATTTCATACCTCATCCAATAAATATCCATTGCAGGGATAAGGGCAGGCAGAACATTCTGTCAAACGTCTGCTTTTATGTTTCATGGAAGAAATGAGAGAGAATGAATAATGACAGAATTACAATTTTTGGGTGAGCTTAACTATGAGCTTTGAGAAAAAAGTATGTGAAAACTAAATATTTAATCAGACCTTACTCACTATACCAAGTGATATCAAATCATCTTTAAAATCGCAGAACCTCATCTACTGTACACGTGTATATCGCATGAAGGCTCAGGGGTTCAGGCTGTAAGTCAACTCTCTGAGCACAGCAGCAAGTAAACAAATACATCGCAGAAAGATGTTTAGAAAAACGAAGCAACTCCTGTTTCTGTCAACGGAGGTGAAGAGGAAACTAACCCATCATCACGGCTCATTGGCCCCTTGCTAACTAAAATAACGCTGAAAACAGCAGAAATGAAATGTCACATTCCCCGAATAGCCATTCTTGACAGGAGACAGCTCTGAGCTGCAACACATGGCAAACTAATGATAATAATAAAAACGCCTAAATTGTCCAATTTGAAACGGAGAAAATGGAGGGTAGGAGGTGTGAAGGTGTTGAAACCCACGAACAGAGTGCAGGTAGATTAAACAAGTTTACACTGTATAGAAAGTGCGACCGCAGACTATTTCTGAGTGCTGCACTTGAGCAGTGAAGAAAAATGAGAGAGAGAGAGAGAGAGAGAGAGAGAGAGAGAGAGAGAGAGAGAGAGAGAGAGAGAGAGAGAGAGAGAGAGAGAGAGAGAGAGAGAGAGAGAGAGAGAAAGAGAAAGAGAAAGAGAGAGAGAGAGAGAGAGAGAGAGAGAGAGAGAAGAGAAAGAGAAAGAGAGAGAGAGAGAGAGAGAGAGAGAGAGAGAGAGAGAGAGAGAGAAAGAGAAGAGAGAGAGAGAGAGAGAGAGAGAGAGAGAGAGAGAGAGAGAGAGATTAACAGATTAACAAGTTGGATGGATGGATGGATGGATGGATGGATGGATGGATGGATGTGATTGGATGTGATTGGATGTATGTGATTGGATGTGATTGGATGTGATTGGATGGATGGATGGATTGGATGGGATTGGATGGATGGGATTGAATTAGATGTGGATGGATGTGTTAGATTGGATTGGGATGGATGGATGGGATTAGATTGTGATGGATGGATGGATGGATGGATGGATTGAATTAGATGTGGATGGATGGATTAGATTGGATTGGGATGGATGGATGGATGGATTAGATTGGGATGGATGGATTGGATTAGATTGGGATGGATGGATGGATGGATGGATGGATGGATGGATGGATGGATGGATGGGATTAGATTGGGATGGATGGATGGATTGGAAAGGATTGGATGGATGATTTGATTGGAGATTGGATTGGACTGGATGGGTGAATTGGATTAGATTGGGATGGATGGATTGGATTAGATTGGGATGGATGGATTGGATTAGATTGGGATGGATGGATGGATGGATTGGAAAGGATTGAATGGATGGATGGATTGGAATGGACTGGATGGATGGATGATTTGATTGGAGATTTGATTGGACTGGATGGATGGATGGATGGATGGATAGATAGATAGTGAGGGCAGTTCACTTGAAACATCCCATACTGCAGGTCTGATTGAAAAAATCATGACCAGAATTACCTCAGAGGCAGACAACAACAATAACATGACAGACGCTTTTTGAATGACAGGACATTTGTTTGGGAACTGGAGATGGGCGTGAGATAGAGGAGACAGGCAGAAGGTCAAAGAGGAGGAGAGCAGCCGGACAGCCACTTGAGCGCTCGCGGAGAACAGAAGTTCAGAGGAACTGACAGACACAGACAGGATGTGTGTGTAGGAGAAAGAAAGCAGGGTGAAACATAACAGCCTCTTAAAGGCTTCGTGTGTGTGTGTTTCTGCCAAGGCATGCATGGCTTTCTCCATGTCATTGCAGCCATGCCTGTGGAGGCTTTGGGGATCTGCTGAAAGGAAAGTCCTGACTCTCGCACCATGCACGTGGGCCAGAGGGGTGGCATTCGGGATGCAGGCGTCACCCGGTGAGAGGGTGCATGAAAATCACACACAGAGGATTAGCTCACCCTCTGAAGGCACCGCAATCGGCTGGTGGTCCATGGGAACAAAAACAGGAGGGTGACTGTGCCATAATGGGGGGATAACATAGCCCTGCTCTTCTTTAGGAATGAGGAAAACAGACAGATAACAGCACACAGGACAACGTGGACAAAAACATGTATACAAATATTCCTGTAGAGGAGAATAATAACATTATTCAGTAAATAAAGATTATATGCAAATTAGCAGAGCAAATAAGAACGCACAGGACATGCTTTTAGCTTCAGCATATTCTGAGCTAAACAATGTAGGACTGGGTTTGATCGTGAAAAGTATTCATTCATATTTTCCCCACCCACGTTGCCTTGGTAACATCAAAAGAGAGTCATTACTACGGACGGAGCCCCTAAAGGGACCTTTGCAAAAACTCACGAGAAACTTTTTACATGTGCACAGTGCTCAAACGTTACAATTTTAGGTTTTTATATATTATATATATATATAAAGGACATTTCTGAGGTGGAAAAGATCATTATATTTTAATAAAAAGTGAATAAATTTTAAAATATTAATCTTTCTTCATATTAGCCTTTTTAATTTTTCATCAAAATGTATTACCACCTCTGAAATGACTTTCCTTTTTGCTCCTTCCAACCCCCATTCACATAAAGAGCACTTTTCACAATCCATTCCTAATGATAAAACTGAAAGAAATCCGACATTTTTCTGGTCAAATACAGAAATAGAACAGAAATGGGCTGCCAAAGCTGTTTCTTGTTGAAACTCAATTTTGATTTGATGATTTCTTTGAAGAAAAAGTTACAGTAAGATCCCTTGTCTGCAGAAAATGGATAGGACAGATTCTTTTTGGATATAAATAAAAGTGGGCAGGTTTGGTCTCAGCTGCATGATTACATGGTGAGCACCAGCCATCATGACTGGAACAATCCTGACCCCTTTTCTTCCGGAGCAGCTGATATTAGATGATGCACAAAGACAAAACCTAAAAATAGTGGAGAATGACTGAAGGGTTTGGTATTTAAAGTGGTTATAGTCCAATGTAACCCTTCAGCTTTCAAAAATACCAATAGCGTATACCAACAACTGTCTGTGATTGACACTGGAAAAAAGATGAGAGCAAGGACTGTCAGTGTTACAGAACAATGTCGGCGCTTTACAGCTTAATTATATGATGACATGTAAAGAATCCCATCCCTCAGCTGTGCTTGGCTTTGTCCAACTCCTAAATATCACACGGAAATTAACAGTGTATTTCAAAACAAAACAAAAAACGCATTAACCGTTATTATGCCCCTGGCTTGCTGAAAATCAAACATTTATGATGTAGACTTTGCAACTTTTAAAATCCGTGGGTCCATATGTGAGTTTTATGATTTTTAAACATTAAGACACCTAAGAAATTATTTTTCTTTTATGTTTGCCCTAAAGACTATGTATGATGTTAGTCAAAAACAGTTGTAGTTTAGCTTTATATGACTATTTTTCATCCTTTAGCTGTTTTTTTCCTACTGAATCTTTAAAGGGTTAGTTCACCCAAAAATGAAAACTCTGTCAGTAATTACTCACCCTCATGTTGTTCCAACCCCGTAAGACTTTCGTTCATCTTCGGAACACAAATTAAGATATTTTTGATTAAATCTGAGAGCTGGATCACTCCTCCATAGGCTTCTTAAGGGATCGAAACTGACCGGCCCAAAAGTTATGAAAGACATCGTTAAAATAGTCCAAGTGACTACAGTGGCTCAATCTTAAGTTTATCAAGCGATGAGAATACTTTTTGTGCGCAAAAAACAAACAAAAATAACGACTTTACTCAACTATTCATTTCCTTCTCTGTACGGCCGTGATATTTCACGTATAGTGAAACTACGCAAAGCTTCTAGGTTGTACGTCACGCATCACACACATGACCAGCGTCAGCCAATAGTGAGCCTACGTGTGATGTGCAACCTAGAAGCTTTGCGCAATATTACTACGTGAAATATCACGGCCGAACAGAAAAGGAAATGAATAGTTGAATAAAGTCGTTATTTTTGTTTGTTTTTTGCGCACAAAAAGTATTCTCGACGCTTGATAAACTTAAGATTGAGCCACTGTAGTCACTCGGACTATTTTAACGATGTCTTTCATAACTTTTCGGCCGGCCAGTTACGATCCCTTAAGAAGCTCTCAGATTTAATCAAAAATATCTTAACTTGTGTTCCGAAGATGAACGAAAGTCTTACGGGGTTGGAACAACATGAGGGCGAGTAATTACTGACAGAGTTTTTATTTTTGGGTGAACTAACCCTTTAAGAGGTGAATATTTATTTTCTATACTGTAATCCGAATAATCTGCTCTCTCAGCCTGACCAACTGAAAAAGGCCGCAAACTGTCCAACATTCAGTTCAATCAGACTAAAAAGTGTACATTTTGTATGAGCCAACCCATTTGATATCTTACTATTTTGCCAAATGACTTTAGCATGAGACTAGAACATCTATTTTAGTTATAAATGTCATGTGCACAAGACCATTAATGCATGATGTTAAAAACAATTGCTTTAATGGCCATTTCATAAACTAAGCATTTAACATGGGCTGCGGAGAAGTGCACCCTGGATAACGCATTGTTAGACCAAAAAGCAGATCTATCTTCATATCTGAAAGCATTTTACAATATTTGATTCCCCATAATGGATTCCTGACAGATTCTAGGAACAGCAGGTAAGCAGATTCTCATTAACAGAGACCTCCTCTGAAAATTAGCATCTTATTAAATTGATTTGATCCATGGAGAGCCGAATGCAGCTCAGTGTCATTTGACTCCTAAATGGATTAGCGCTTTAATGAGTTTATTTGTTCTGGGCAAAGATGCCCATCTGCCTCAGATCATCTCCATGACAGTGATGTTACAGTGAAGAGCAACTGCAGCCATTGGCAAAACTGAGTATCAAAGAAGACGAATGCTATTGTGCTTTAAAAGGATAGTTTACCCAAAAAAGAAGATATTTTGTAGAATGTCAGTAATCAAACAGTTGATAGGCCCCATTGACTTGCATAGATTTTTTTTTCCTACTATGGAAGTCAATGGGTGCAGTCAACTGTTTGATAAACTACCTTAACTTAAAGGTAAAGTGTGTAACCAGCCAAACCACGAACCATGAGAACGTGATTAAGATAAACCGATGCCCCAAACGCACGCCATTGTGTGAGCCAACATTTCTGTGACAGGTTCATCATTTTATATTTATGATCAAATATATATTATATCCTTTAATAGCACTGCAGAGCCCAATGCTCAATCACATACTTGTCTTTGCATATTAAACTAGGATAGGTGAAAGTATTTTAAGATCGAAAAATCACACGCATCACCTTTAAATCCCAATTTGGCTATTAAACTTTGGGGGGGTTATCCCACCTCATTGTAATGGATTAAGCACTAAGCTCTTTATCATTGTTTCTGTTCAGCTCTGCACGTGCTTTTCTCTGCACTAATCACTTGTGGTGGATCCTTTTAACATTGAGGCCCTGGTTTATAAAAGGGTTTCATGTATAAAAAAAATACATGAGCTGAGGTGATGTATATATATATACATATGCAGGGCCTAAAATTAACACTCGCCAAGCACCAAATACGAGTAAAAATCAACATTGGATTGCACTCGAAAAGCGATATTCAAACAAAATTATGTCAAAATGCCCGTCTTGGCGAGTATCCTTGTAAACATAGTCATTTATATCTTAACTAATGGTAATCAGTTGAGAAATAAAACGCATGTATCAGTGTATTGGATCTGTGCATTAGCTCTTAAAGTGACAGCAGCCTAATAATCCTTCTGCTGTTTGTGTTTTTAATCAGCACACATTTTGTGTGTTAATCAAACAACAAAAGACAGAAAACAATCACTCTGCTCTTGACTAAATAACTTTTCTAACTTTATGTTTCATGGCTGGTAAAACATATTTATAAGTCACTGGCCATTGGCAGGTATGGCAAAAAGTTAGTTTTTGGCCCAATTGTATAATATTATATTTATTAATATAGCGATTGTTAATTCAAAATAATGGAATGTATTGTTAATACAAAAATGAACTAATATGTAAAACACATTTTGATTACATTATAGTATAGAGCTATTAATAATCAACGTCTGCATTGCAAAGTATCGACTACGATTTCACAAAGTATTCAAAATAAATCATGAATAATAGCTATTATTACAATATCTTATGCGATTGGGCGTTTTGTGTGGTATAATTTAATTTGCATGCTGATTGTTTTGCTACAAATAATTTCAATAAACAAAAACAATTAACGGCTTGAAAAACACTTCAGTCAGTCACACTGAAAATAAAAAGCTTGATTATTTCCACCGATCATTTTAATATGCCACCCAGGTGTCCGCGCTAACCAGCACCTGTCAAAGTTTGAAACACGCAGGACAAATAAGCCCTCGGCGTGACAATCATCTGTCGTTACCCATCAGATTCTTTTAATCGCTCTTGCCACGGAAGCTGTTAGAAATGTTATCTGTTGTGATGATAAAACAAATGTAATTCAATCATTTCCACCCACAAGTTTCATCAACTTGACATGAAACCATGACGCAAGGAAAAAACCGAAAAGATTCTATTCCACATTCCAGAGGGGATTGTTTTCCCTTTCCTTCCCGTCTTTTAATTACACCTCCTCCCTTTGCCTTCCGAGGGCACAGAATCCCTCTGTTTAAATCTCACAGCTTTCTCCTCTCAAATGGAAATGTGCTGTTTTAAATCAGGGGTTATCTCCGACGCCAGCGTTCTTCTGATGAGACAACTACGGACAGAATTTAGTCCCTTGGCTCCGTTTTATTTTCGGTACTGCGTTCTTAGTTCAGTAATTGAGATATTATCAGCTTAAGGGAAACCTCGCATCCTGAATCACACTATATCGCTCAATACAATACAACAGATGCATTGTTTTCTGTTGACCTACAGGGTAACTTCTACATCCAGAGGCCTTTAACTTAATGCAGTGGCAAATTGGTGCTTCAGAATAGAAAGAGAGATTGATTTAAACGTACTGTATGCACACTTCAGCACTTACCTTGGTTGCATGTTTTTCCTGTATAACCTGGATGGCACTTGCATTTGTTGGGACCCACGCATTCTCCATGTTTGCATCCGTGCTGACATACCGCTGTAGGCACAAAGATCATCAGTATCATTTTTACTCCATAGTCAGAGTCTATGTATAGTAGATATGGAAACATGTAACATAAAAACAGCTTTGAGTTTTTGGGCTATAAGAAAAAAACAACCGTTCTCACTGTGGGAAATAAGTGTCCGTGCGATTAGACCTTGAGGATATTGTGGTGAGAGATCCACAAAAACATTATTTTGGAACGCTGGGCCCCCTACATCAATAATTCATTGTTTGCCTTGGTCATTTTAATGAACCGAGTGTACGTTCCACCTCACTTCTCCTTTATGACTCATTACATCTCACATTTGGATTGGGAAGCAGCCCGGAGCTGTGCAACATCAGAAACATTTTAGATCTGAGACCGAGGGAAAAAGTGGTTACACTTTATTTTAAGGTGACATGCATTGTATTACTCAAATAAGTACTGAGTAATATATACATGTACTTACTATAGGGTTACGGTTAGGGTTAGGGTTTGGTTTAGGGTTAGATACTTGTAATTATGCATAATTTACTGTTATTACAATAGTAAGTACATGTAGTAACGTGTAACCTTAAACTCAAGAGTTACCGCAAACCTCCTTAGTGTTGAATATGGGGTAAATACTGCCTCTGACATCTTCAAAATAGAGACAAAAATATCCCATCCCATACTGCTCTTCCTAATGTTGTCAAAAGGATTGTGTTTGCAGGCCTGATGCTCAATGACAGCACAGGAAACTGATCAGTCTTGGCATGCAAGATGCCCAAATGGCATATTCTTTAGTGAATTAATGAAAGTATGCTTCCAAGCACATTTGCTATATATTTATATAAATATGCCACAACATGAGTCTTTGGTATGAATAATACTGGTATTCTATTTTGGTTTATTTTCATATTCAATGTTTTATGATTATATAGCATAAAATAATTGTCATTATTATAGTATATTTTTTATACGTTTATTTTGTTTTTGTGGAAAATTAATGAAGAATAAAATGTATATTTAAGAAAAAGTTACCCAATTTACCCTGGTTACTTGATTACCTGCACGTGCAAGGCCAAGCCAAAATATTTAATGGTTTTTTAATGATCTCAACAATTTTAATCAGAAATCACTGGTCAGGAATTTAGCAAGAATTGCACAAATACTGTAGATGAAGTAACTCAGCACAGAATAGCCTTCTTGCAGACAGATTTTTACCGGAAGAAGAGTCAGTGTTGTTCCACTCAATGTTACTGGCTTCAAACTGGTCATGAGTTGAAAAATGTCTCGCAGTTCGTTTGTGTTTAATGCGAGATCAAATATTAACTATTGGTTGCCAAACATGAGCCTGATGGACTTGTTCTTGTTTCATTGTCTTGTTGAAAAACAACATCTGATCATTCCTCTTTAGAAAACAACTTTTCATTTGTGGGAAGCAAGCCATTCTGCATTATTCTCCTGTACTCTAAAGCGTTAAATGACTTTTCACAGTGAAGAAACTCACCAATAGCAGCAGATAAAAAGGCTCTCGAGTCCTCACACAATGATAGTCTCTTCCTCAACGCTTCACTGTGCTAGAGATGCATTTATTATTATATTTCTCAGCAGATTTCTGAAGACAACGCTCTGGAGCTTCACTATGCAACTCGTGTTTCATTGTGATTCAAATTTGACCACTTTTCTGACCAATAAGTTGTCGTTAAGACAATTAAAAACTCAGTTTTTAGCCATTTTTGACTTTTTTGTTGACTTTTTTTCGCCCAGGAGTATACACTCGCCTAAAGGATTATTAGGAACACCATACTAATACTGTGTTTGACCCCCTTTCGCCTTCAGAACTGCCTTAATTCTACGTGGCATTGATTCAACAAGGTGCTGAAAGCATTCTTTAGAAATGTTGGCCCATATTGATAGGATAGCATCTTGCAGTTGATGGAGATTTGTGGGATGCACATCCAGGGCACGAAGCTCCCGTTCCACCACATCCCAAAGATGCTCTATTGGGTTGAGATCTGGTGACTGTGGGGGCCATTTTAGTACAGTGAACTCATTGTCATGTTCAACAAACCAATTTAAAAATGATTCGAGCTTTGTGACATGGTGCATTATCCTGCTGGAAGTAGCCATCAGAGAATGGGTACATGGTGGCCATAAAGGGATGGACATGGTCAGAAACAATGCTCAGGTAGGCCGTGGCATTTAAACGATGCCCAATTGGCACTAAGGGGCCTAAAGTGTGCCAAGAAAACATCCCCCACACCATTACACCACCACCACCAGCCTGCACAGTGGTAACAAGGCATGATGGATCCATGTTCTCATTCTGTTTACGCCAAATTCTGACTCTACCATCTGAATGTCTCAACAGAAATCGAGACTCATCAGACCAGGCAACATTTTTCCAGTCTTCAACTGTCCAATTTTGGTGAGCTCTTGCAAATTGTAGCCTCTTTTCCCTATTTGTAGTGGAGATGAGTGGTACCCGGTGGGGTCTTCTGCTGTTGTAGCCCATCCGCCTCAAGGTTGTGTGTGTTGTGGCTTCACAAATGCTTTGCTGCATACCTCGGTTGTAACGAGTGGTTATTTCAGTCAAAGTTGCTCTTCTATCAGCTTGAATCAGTCGGCCCATTCTCCTCTGACCTCTAGCATCAACAAGGCATTTTCGCCCACAGGACTGCCGCATACTGGATGTTTTTCCCTTTTCACACCATTCTTTGTAAACCCTAGAAATGGTTGTGCGTGAAAATCCCAGTAACTGAGCAGATTGTGAAATATTCAGACCGGCCCGTCTGGCACCAACAACCATGACACACTCAAAATTGCTTAAATCACCTTTCTTTCCCATTCTGACATTCAGTTTGGAGTTCAGGAGATTATCTTGACCAGGACCACACCCCTAAATGCATTGAAGCAACTGCCATGTAATTGGTTGATTAGATAATTGCATTAATGAGAAATTGAACAGGTGTTCCTAATAATCCTTTAGGTGAGTGTAGACCTCTATATAAATATATATAATTTATTTTTATGATTTTATTTTATTTTTGTATTTTCCATTTTCATTTTACTCAAAGTTTTAGTCATTTTGTTGTGTTTTTGTCAATTTTATTAGTTTTTTTTATTTATTTAAATATATTACATTTTTATTTCTGTTTTAGTAAATTTGCTTTGGCAACTAGTTGAAATAACTTTTTTTTTAAAAAATGTTTTATATATTTCAGCTAACATTTATTTTACACAAGTTTAGTTTCAATTTCCCGGCCCTGGCTGTAACATTAGGCTGGACTACAGGCCAGGCTTACAGCAGCGGTTTATACCAGAGTCTCCAGTCGGCTGAGACTAATTTCCATTGAAAGCTTCGTTGAGTCTCCAATTATAGAGGCCTATCAGAGGTGTTAATTTTCCTCATTGGTGCCATTCTCGGAGTGAAAGAATACGCCCCAAATATACACACAAGATACTACAAGAGACATGAATGAGAAAGATGCTGCTGTATATAACCCCTTGACCCCAAATGGTGAAAGCAAAACTAGTCTGTACTAGTGATAAAAGACACACAGATATCTACTTTCAGACTGTTCAAACTGCATGAAGGCGGAAAAGCATTAGCCCACTCTGGCAAAATGGTGAGATAAGAATCAGCCCGTCTCATTCCACCTTATTAGATTGAGTAAGCTAATCAAAGGTACATGTTGACCTTGCTTTTAACCTGTGTTAATCAATATAGAAGTTAGACAGTAAGATCAAACCCTACAGTCAAAACACAAAAGGACAAACGTGGGCCCTAATTTGGTGGTAAACCCCAAGCTGGCAGGAGACAAACAATGAAACCGTTAGATTCTCTGACATTGAGAGTTTATCCGGGCGGCTGCCTTATCTCGCTAGCCAGACAGTTATCAAATGTGATGAAATCATGGATTAATCCTGGTGGGACGCTGTGTGATCACAGGCAGTGGTTATATTTTTAAGTGCTGACGAATGAAGAGCTTAAGGACAGGGCTTTAAAGGGAAACCTATCTGCCGCGGTCCGGTTCAGAGAAATGCCGACACTTGGAACACAAACCAAAGGCGAAACGGGCCAAGGGAAGTACCCGTTATTGACAAACCACATCAAACGTTCCCGCTGGCTTCGAAACGCCTAGCTCCTCTCTCACCACATGCGCTCCTCTACCCCTGGAGACTTTCATTCTCGGCATAGCATACCTATCAATCCATGCGCTCTGATGACGCATGACCGGATGGCAGCTTCAAAGCAATATGTCAGGAAGTGTTATTGGTGAATTTCATGAAAATAAGATTCATAATAAGGCTCACTAAGTATTTAAAAAGCTAATAATGATTTTTTTCCAAGCCGGAAAAATCAATAAACTTTTGCAAAAGCACATCCGCACCATGTCCTAGTGGTTTGTGCCAGACCTGTAATGCCCATCCAATCGATTTTTGTTGTTCGTGGACATAAAATTGTATTTAAAAAATGTATTAAACGTTAGCTTTAATATTTATAATCTTTTTACTTTGATATTTATATTTAAGTTTCACACTAAGTAACTACATTACAATATCCCATCTAAAAATAAATACATATATAACATAGTATATATGAATAAATAAATAAAACATAAACTAATAAATAAATCAATATACTGTATATATATATCCTGTTAAGTGTCACCGGCCCACCGGTGGGCCCAAATCCATTACATTTTTAAAACAGTAATATCCTATACTAAACCTAAACTAATCTTGACAAACTATATATCATTTGAAAGCTTACAATCTCTAGTTTCCATATTTGGTGATTGATTTTCAAAATAAATTACAGAGGAGCCGTAATTTATCAATTTGCAACAAGAATATTTTCATACTCCTAAGGTGTGTTTAGACCTTTATTTTGAAATAGTGATGAACATGAAAAATCATGAAAGAATGGTAGAAACCTCAGTTTGTTTTCATGCCAAGAGTTCAAAAGATAGCATCCATTCAATTATTTTAGAAAAAAAGGTCTGAATTTTTTTTTTAAATATAAAGAAAAAAATTATAGATTCACCATTTGTGATGTGGCAGCAATATAACGCACATACTTCTTCTTTTTATGTGTTTCTTTGAGGTTGAATTCATATCAAAATCTGCCAAACTTCTCATATTACTTCTGAATAGGATGTCTACTTCATAAATTGTATGAAAATTGTGGAAATAATGGTTCATATCACTCAAAACACATATGGAAATGGAGGCGCCCTTATATGGGCAGTAATGGAGTCTGGTTGTGACCTAGTGAAAAAGTTTGGTACTGCGCCCAAACACACACTCACTGAAAGCTCATGTTTTGAGATATCAACCTAAAATTTGAAACACAACTTGTTCAGATTTTTGGCTTTGATTTTTTTTTTTTTGCAGTTTTAGAGTCACCCAGGTTTTGAAAATATATATTTTATATAAAATATGAATAATAAAATGTTTTACATTGTACATTTTCATAAACTCAAACTTCTATAACTTTTTTTCTGTTTCACTTTCTTAATTTATTTCACTTCTACAAAAATCTGCCAAATGTCTTCTTTAAAACGAGACCAATCTTACGTCTATATTCCAAAGCATTCTTGAATTACAACCATTTAAGTTCGAAATGTGCATTTTCATGCATATTCAAAAAAGGGGGGTGACAGTTACCAGGATATATATATACTGCATATACACACAGTTTTTATTGAGTAATTGAAATTATTCAACCCCCATTGCAAATCAGGTTTATTGGCAAAATGTACAGAATTTCGGCTGCTTTGCAATGAACAAACAAAACAAAAGTAATTGAAATAGCTCAACACAACAAATGTTTAAAGTGGTTTCCCCAAATTCAACTGAAAATGCACGTTTTAAACTCTTCTTGTTTCTTATCGAAAGCAACAAAACGCGGAGCTTATTGCGATTATTGGTGGTTAATGGTGGTTAGGCTACAACGCTGTTCATCTCCCTGAAAGCACACGGACAACTTAGAGACGTCTATTTGATGTCTGCATTTACATCTTAAAGATGTCTTTTTTGGTTTAAAATGTATGTTTTTTCTACGATTTTTATCAGATGTATTTACAGTGCAGATGTTTTCCAGATCTCTAGCAGACATCTTACAGACGTACATGTGCTATCTGAAAAATGATATTAAATGTTAAAGGGATACTCCACTTTTTTTGGAAATAGGCTCATTTTACAACTCCCCCAGAGTTAAACTGTTGAGTTTTACCGTTTTTGAATCCATTCAGCCGATCTCCGGTTCTGGCGGTACCACTTTTAGCATAGCTTAGCATACATCATTGAAGTGGACAAGACCATTAGCATTTCTAAAAAAAAATGACCAAAGAGTTTCGATATTTTTCCTATTTAAAACTTGACTCTTCTGTAGTTACATCGTGCACTAAGACCGACGGAAAATGTAAAGTTGCGATTTTCTAGGCTGATATGGCTAGGAACTATACTCTCATTCCTGCGAAATAATCAAGAAACGTTACTGCCGTACCATGAGAGCAGCAGGCGTAATGATATGACGCAGCGCCTGAAAATAGTTCCGTTGTGTTGACGGAAGGTAGCCTATTTTCAGGCGCTGCGTCATATCATTACGCCTGCTGCTCTCATGGTACGGCAGTAAAGTTTCTTGATTATTTCGCAGGAATGAGAGTATAGTTCCTAGCCATATCAGCCTAGAAAATCGCAACTTTACATTTTCCGTCGGTCTTAGTGCACGATGTAACTACAGAAGAGTCAAGTTTTAAATAGGAAAAATATCGAAACTCTTTGGTCATTTTTTTTTTAGAAATGCTAATGGTCTTGTCCAATTCAATGATGTATGCTAAGCTATGCTAAAAGTGGTACCGCCAGAACCGGAGTTCGGCTGAATGGATTCAAAAACGGTAAAACTCAACAGTTTAACTCTGGGGGAGTTGTAAAATGAGCCTATTTCCAAAAAAAGTGGAGTATCCCTTTAACTTTAATATTTAGAATATTTTCTACTTTTATATTTATGTCACATCATAAATGTCTCTACAGGACAACTAGATAGCTAACGAATTAAGTTAAACTGTTTGTTGTTGTTTTTGCTTTGCACGTGTTAGAAGCCAATAAAACAGATGCATGAGATTTAGCTGTACTGCTCAAATGGGAGATGTCAGTTTAAATATGGTTTCCATCCTCCATCATTCCTGTCCTCTCTCTATACTGCTGTGTTAAAAGACCAAAAACACCCTTGATGTGAGATCCTTTGAGGCTGACGTGGGGGAACAAACAAATATGAATATAAACAGTGATATCCAAATATCCTGGAGGGTCCAGATATTCAAATGGAAGCAGGAGCAGGTGTGAAGTGTTCACAGGATATCAGGATATTCTCAAAGGAGGAGTGCGCGCGGGGGACTATAAATAAACGGGAACTCGGTATTCAGCGGATGCGTGTTCTGAATGGCGCTCAGGCAAGATGATTGCAAAGGAAATATGATGTGGTGCTAACCTTGGGGTTGGCACCTTATCCCGATAACTCTGCGGGTTAAGACGTAGAGGGCTGCAAAACAAACGGCCAGACAGAGAAAAAAAAAGAAAAAAAAGAAAGAAGCTTCGTCTAAATGTGAGATGAAAACATTACATGGGAGCCATGCTGATGATGGACAAGCATTATAAACGCAACACATACAATACACACACAGATTAAAGATTAAAGTCTCTCACATTTCATGTGGTGTTAAGAACTTTTTTTCAGGGAAAGAAGAACGAAATAGATCAAGTGACATTTATGGTTCAAGATAAATTTTGAATAAATTCACAGGAATAAATTACATTTTAAAATATATTCAAATGTAAGTGATAATTTCACAATATTACTGTGAATGGACACATTGTTACGAAGTACATAAACATCAAAGCTTAAACTGTTTCCAAAGTATAAAAAAAGAAGACATTTTCCTTCAAATTTGGATTCATCGGTCCACAAAACAGAGTTTCACTCCTCTAGTTCCTATGTTCTCTTGCCCAGGCAGAGCAGAGCCTCAATAACAAAGGTTTCTTTGCAGTTCCTCAGTCACACAGCTTCACACACACACTCCCCTGTGAACTACTGATGCTCAAACATTTGAGTAACATTTTGCTGAGCTGGTATTTTAGGAGCAGCTTAGGAACAGGATAGTTGGTGTTGCAGATGTTCAACTATTAAATCCCCCTTGTCCTGCCTGACCTCGCTGGTCCTCATGAGGGCCAATTACTTCAAATTAAATGATGCTTTAAAGGGATAGTTCACTTTGAAATTAATTTTTGATATGTTTTAGCTTACCTCAAGGGCATCCAAGATGTAGGTGTCTTTGTTTCCGCAGTAGTTTAAATTTTGATATTTTTAGGTCAAACCGTTCTTGTCTGTCAGTCATATAATCCAGGTCTATGGTCACCACCTCAAAGAGCATGCACAGAGAAGTCCAAATTAAACATGATTTAATGACTCGTAAATGTAAGTACACATTGATGGCTTAAGACACGAAACGAGCGGTTTGTGTGAGAAAACGAACAGTATTTAGATCGTTTTTACCTTTTGTAACCACAGCCACGTCCAAGTGATCTGAGGGCGCCGGCGCTTCGGTCTGTGCGTTACAAGAGGACTGACAGACAAGAACGGTTTGACCTAAAAATATCAAAACTGAAACTTCTGCGGAAACAAAGACACCTACATCTTGGATGCCCTTGAGGTAAGCTAAAACACCACAAATTTATTTCAAAGTGAACTATCCCTTTAAACTACAGAAGTGACGACTCTCAAAGCTAACATTACCCTTCAAAAGATACCATGGTGGTATACACCACGTTACTGAATGATTACCATATTTATTTACTTAAATTGGTCTTAACTGGAAGTATAAGTGTTATTATTATACTGGTTATACTTCAAATTATTAATTTATTCAAATAAATCTTACTGCCCCCAAGCGTTTGAACCGTAATGAAGATATTTTAATGTCGACTGCCTGTCCTCAAGCACTCGCGGTGTACGTGCTTTCCTGTAACTATGATTTTTGCTCTTTTTATAACCTGAGGGATGAGGCGAAATGATCTTCGTTGGTAATCCACACTATCCTATGAAAGCTGTTGATAGAGCTTAACTTGTATTGAACCCGGAACGTTCCTTTAAAATCCAGCTTTTAGAGAGAGAACGAAAGAGAGATTACAGTCCGAGATGTCCTGAAGCTTGAGATAGATATTTCACCCTCGCGCTGAGCCGTTCCTCATCAAAATTCATCCTCAGCTGGAGATCTTGTTAACTCTAGATGATTAGGTTGTTGTGATTGGGGAATCTAATTTCGGCTGTGAGGTATAATCTTAATCACGAATTCAGCCCACGAAACCGAGGGCTGCCCCCTAAACCAGCTGTTTTGAGAAAGTCAAATATTACAGCTTCATGTTCACCGTTATTGAGGTGTGAATGGAGCCAGATATGACTGCGGCGCCTAACAAAACCTTTGACTGGATGGATATTTGAAAAGCATTTCGGAGCCGGGCACTTCACTTTCCTTGAGGACTGTGTTCGGGGATGCATTTATTACGGCCTTCATTCTCAATGTGCATCTTCACCCCGTACGATCACCGACCGGCCAAAACAAACCGCAGCAATTTCATCAAAGATATGAGACGCAGGGATCTCGTAATCAGTCATGATGGAGCCCTTAACGCCCCGCCGCATATACTTTCTATTCTCTGACAAAATTGCGACTTCAACCGCTGGCTGTCTTGCTGTCCGTGATTGAGGACACAATCGGTTTGTTTACCGCCCATTGCGCATATTTATTTACTTCAAATCACCGTTTTCAGCATATATAATACCGTCTTTGTTGAGCAAAATACGCAATTTGCAAAGGCGTACCTCGGCCACTTGAAGTGTGAGAGACATTTGCACACATACACACACAGTCACACAAAGAAAACATTGCTTTGTTACAAAATACGGTATAAAGACGAAATGGTGACGATCTACTAGAAGCATAAGCATTAGCTTTTGGAGCCCCTCAGCATGTGACCCTCGTGAACTGTGATTCAACAGCTGGGCTATCATGTGCACAAGCCATGCAGAGATTCTTGCATTTGTCAGGCTGCCCGATACATTGCGCCGCTAATACTGTCATGCATCACAAAGTAGGCCCATGAATCAGCACAAGGCTTGTTCCATTTTTTGATACGGTCAAACATTTGTTCAGAAGAAGCACGGCATTTCTTTTTTAGATTTGTAGCGAACATATGGCAGCTGATAAATGAAGCATAATACGCTATTAATATGAGCAGCGGGAGCACATCCTCGGATTCCATGATAACGCAATAAAATGAGCTAATCCGTACTTGAAGATCATTACGTGATTAATGTGGTGTAAGATTTGAGAGGCATCATCACTTCTAGTGTGAGATGAATGCATTTATATGGATCGCACATTACAGATCTGCATAATCCATGCTTGATCCAACAAAAGGTATTATGGGTGATACAATGGCTGGAAGTGATTAAATTAAACTTGATATAATATATATATATATATTTACAGCAGCAATTTCAGTATCAATTTATTTAATGTTCTTTACTTTTTCCCTATTATTGTACAGCACTTTCGGTTGTTTTTAAATGTGCTTTCTAAATGAATGATTGGACTTCTATGTCTTTTTTTAGACCTCAAACTAATCCCGCAGGAATGTGGTGCTGTTGCAGCAAACTACTCGTTGTACCTTTTAATTATTCCAAATGACTGAACCACATAATATTGGGTGTCATGCAGAATATCTCAAAGACAAAGCAGACATCCGGCAGGCTCATTCTTGCGACTAAACCAGTTAGTAAGCATGAAATTCAGAAGCATTATTTCCCAAGACAGAGTCTTGCTTATTTTCAGCCATCATTTTCTACCACTTCTGTGAAGTCACCAGTTCATTATACAGTATTTGGTGGAATCAAATGGATCCTGCGATCAAAGCAGCATCTAAAACTTAAAAGTCTCTCATGCCATTAAGAGTAAAAGACTTAAAAGGGTATTGACAATTGAAATTCAATTTTGCTAGGCTATTCAAATGAATTTGAAATATGGCAGCTACTCCAATGAACTGGTGACTTGCTGTTAAGTGTTGTTGTTAAGTGTCGGAAGAAGGTTAAAGTAGCATGGAAGTCTAGAAGCCATTAAGCGCCCCCCACCCCACTGTTCACCCTATAGCAGCAGTTACTCACGCTGGCACTGGCCCCAGGAGACTCGTGTCCAGCCCCAGCAGCAGTCCACCCGAGCGCCGTATCGACACAGCCCATTGGACGAGGCCATCTGTCTGGGCCACCTATCAGGAGACAGTTTGATCAGATCTTGGCCAATCACTGCACAGACGACAGTTAAGCGAGTGACGAATAACATTGTGCATAGCTTTAGTATCTATCTATCTATCTATCTATCTGTCTGTCTGTCTATCATCTATCTATCTATCTATCTATCTATCTATCTATCTATCTATCTATCTATCTATCTATCTATCTATCTATCAGTTGGTCTATCTATCTATCTATCTATCTATCTATCTATCTATCTATCTATCAGTTGGTCTATCTACCTATCTATCTATCTATCTATCTATCTATCTATCTATCTATCTATCTATCTATCTATCTATCAGTTGGTCTATCTATCTATCTATCCATCTATCAATCAGTTGGTCGGTTGGCCTATCTATCTATCTATCTATCTATCTATCTATCTATCTATCTATCTATCTATCTATCTATCTATCTATCTATCTATCTATCTGTCTATCATCTATCTATCTATCTTTCAGTTGGTCTATCTATCTATCTATCTATCTATCTATCTATCTATCTATCTATCTATCTATCTATCTATCTATCTATCTATCTATCTATCTATCTATCTATCTATCTATCTATCTATCTACAGTATATGTCTATCTATCTATCTATCAGTTGGTCTATCTATCTATCTATCTATCTATCTATCTATCTATCTATCTATCTATCTATCTATCTATCTATCTATCTATCTATCTATCTATCTATCTATCTATCTATCTATCTATCTATCTATATATTGGTCTATCTATCTATCTATCTATCTATCTATCTATCTATCTATCTATCTATCTATCAGTTGGTCTATCTATCTATCTATTCATCTATCAATCAGTTGGTCGGTTGGCCTATCTATCTATCTATCTATCTATCTATCTATCTATCTATCTATCTATCTATCTATCTATCTATCTATCTATCTATCTATCTATCGGCCTGTCTGTCTATCTAAGTCTATCTAAGCCCATGAATCTGTAGATTCAAGATTCTCACACATTTGCAAGTCATGAGGTAACTTCTATTGTTCCAGTTTTTACTGTTGTCTTATCCATTGCATCAGTCAGCCAGTGACGTGTTATCTATATTCACAAAGCTTCCGCTGTACTCAGTGACACAGGTGCTGCAGATAAGAGCACTGTGAGTTATCACTCTTCCACCAGAGGCAGATCTTCTCGTATGGTGATGCTGGATGCACACACAGCGCAGAGATCAGATGAAGTCTGTCTGTGCTTATGCTAGAGGGAAGTTATGAAAAATAAGGGTGTTCTTAGAAAAAGATATGTTACATGACCCAACAATGTGAGGGAACAAGACAGATTTTTGGAAAACATCATTCTTGGAAACAACAGGGAAGGCCGTTTAAAACCGATTTTCCATAAAATGGAAAATAAAGGTACAGCTGAAGTGCTTTTGAATCGGAGAGTTTCTTGGCTGTGCACACCAGGATTACGAATCTCTTTTTTTTTCCACCAGCAGAGCTCCAAATGTTTTTGTGAAGAAGTAAAACCATTTAAGGTCTGTGAAAATAAGCAAAAGGGAATGAACACAGGTCAAATGACGTCATGTAAATGGATCTTAATGGGTAATAGATACAGGGAAAGCACCGAGCACAATCTAAAATTAAACTTCTACTTAATATGGCTGGCTGTATTTAAACAGAGAACAGAAAACAAGAAAGAAAATAAACTGAGCTAATCATAAATCAAATATAAACATTCTATATTTTGTTGAATTACTTTATTTTAAAAAAAAAAACAGATAAGATTATTTATTAACCCTTACATGCATACACATATACACATTGATACTTTTTTTTCAAGGATTATTTGATACATTTTAAATGTCTTTACTGTACCTTTTTCTCAAGATATTACATCCTTGAATAAAAAACACTGACATATCTCTAAAAGTTGCATGTGTTATATTATGCATAAGTGAGACAGGAAACTATTGTGAATTTTAGCCGCACGGCCACTGTCCTCTTCAGTTACTCTGGATCGTAAGGCAGTGAAAATGCTAATGCGGCCACTACCGCTGCCAGTCACTCCAGTAAGAAAGTGTGATGGTGGCACTAAATGAGAGTGACAGGCTGAAGGGAAAATGTTTGCGTGTGCAGCTCGGCGAGGGAAAGGAGACGGCTCTAAAGACACAGGGCGCATGCTAAGAGGATTGAGTCCGGGCTCCTGCCTGTCACTCTGCTATATCTTACCTGAAACACACATTTAATCACAAACACACACACACACACAGAGGCTGGCCGGACTCACCATGTTCCAACACAATCACCTCTGTATGCATTAAAAACATCACTTCTAACTCACTGCAAAGATGCTGGGTGCAGAATACATCATATATCGCAATGGCTCCCAGGGTTGCACATATTTCTCTATTATCTTTTGTCTTCAGTTTTTAAAAGTAAGAAAACCAAATGGTTGTTGTCAATTTATGTGGACTGCACACATAGCAGAACATATGTACTGTATATAAACATAATGAGACCATATACTCATCTTCAGTCATTTTACTTGCATTTCTTTTTTTATTAAGGCCTACTATTTATTTAACTATTCCAACACAATCACATGGTTTATTTTCATTTAGCTGACTATGACCCTACCAGAACAGAAATGAGTTGAGAACAACAATGTCTGTCTTAAAAATGAAAGCGAGGGATCATAACATTCATTAAACATCCTCATGGTTGCTCTCCAGATAGGCGGAACACCAAACATGTTCCAGTTGGCTGTGATTTTGTCTTTTCACAAAATATTTGACTTTAAGGGAGGACAGAAAAAAAGGGTGTGAAAGCTTTTTAGGACACCATGTTATAACAATAAGACAACAGAGAATGGTTCACATAAACTGCAGTGCTTAAAGAGGACGCATAATGCTTTGGTTTTGTTTTTAGGCTCTACTAGAAAAGGTTTTCATGCTTGAATATTCAAAAAACACTATTTTTCACATATTTGACATTGTTGCAGCACCTCTCTTCCCAGTCTGTCAGTAACACTCTGTTTAGTTACTGTCTATATGAAGCCCCTCCTTCTGAAAGAGGAAATGTGCTCTGATTGGTCGGCTGGACCAGTGTGTTGTGATTCGTCAACCGCTTTGAGTGGAAATGTCACGCCACTTACCATATAACAATGAATTTCAACACACTACTAACTAACTCAACAGGAATTATTTAAATGAGGGATATTTGTCTTGTTCGTTCCCGGAAGAAAACTCAAGACTACAATTGAGGCGTTTCAGGGTATTCAGAAACAGTGCGCAGTGCGCACTGATATAGAGAATAGAGAGTGACTTTGTGCTTTGTAACTTTGCAGACCTTTTTCAAGCTCAAACAGCAACATTACACACTAAAGAAAGTTGAAAATGTCAAAAAGCAAAATAAGCCCTCTTTAAAGGGATACTCCACTTTTTTTTGGAAATAGGCTCATTTTACAACTCCCCCAGAGTTAAACTGTTGAGTTTTACCGTTTTTGAATCCATTCAGCCGATCTCCGGTTCTGGCGGTACCACTTTTAGCATAGCTTAGCATACATCATTGAAGTGGACAAGAGCATTAGCATTTCTCAAAAAAAATGACCAAAGTGTTTCGATATTTTTCCTATTTAAAACTTGACTCTTCTGTAGTTACATCGTGCACTAAGACAAAAATGTAAAGTTGCGATTTTCTAGGCTGATACGGCTAGGAACTATACTCTCATTCCTGCGTAGTAATCAAGAAAGTTTACTGCCGTACCATGAGTGCAGCAGGCGCAGGCACTTAGTCCCGGTCACGTTGGAAGTTACCGAGCTGGGGACTATTTTCAGGCGCTGCGTCATATCATTACGCCTGCTGCTCTCATGGTACGGCAGTAAAGTTTCTTGATTATTACGCAGGAATGAGAGTATAGTTCCTAGCCATATCAGCCTAGAAAATTGCAACTTTACATTTTCCGTCGGTCTTAGTGCACGATGTAACTACAGAAGAGTCAAGTTTTAAATAGGAAAAATATCGAAACTCTTTGGTCATTTTTTTTATAGAAATGCTAATGGTCTTGTCCACTTCAATGATGTATGCTAAGCTATGCTAAAAGTGGTACCGCCAGAACCGGAGATCGGCTGAATAGATTCAAAAACGGTAAAACTCAACAGTTTAACTCTGGGGGAGTTGTAAAATAAGCCTATTTCCAAAAAAAGTGGAGTATCCCTTTAACATAAAAGAAAGCAAGTAAGAAAGAAACAAATAGAGGGGGAGGGGGCAATGAGAGAAAGACTAATCTCCTCATGTGCAGTGCTTGCCCCACCAGACACAAGCGAATACGTGCCAGTCAGCAATCTGCGAACTCTGGGCCCGATCCAAAGAGACACCAAACTGAGAGAGAGAAAGAGAGAGAGCGTCGCCCAGCGAGAAACCGGCGCCACATTCACTGAGGTAACAAGTCTGTCACAACAAATCTCTCGTCCACCTGAGTAAGTGTCTTTCCTCACCTTGTTAAAGATGCAGCCATTACACAGTTTCAATTTCCAGCTCAATCTGGCATTAGCGGATTACACAAACGACAAATATCTACATAATGCAATTCTGTCCCGGCTGCTCAAAGGAGGCAACCGGGTCACCAAAATTAGACGTAGATGCCTTTATCTCTGTGCACTGGAACATTTGAGTCATGAAATATTCATGCAATTCGCATTTCTATTTGTCTGGAGCGGTCTGACACAATTCATGCGGCTCCGTAGTGAGTCTGCACATGTATATGAATGATGACATGCAGCGGGACTCGAGTGCAAGTGCAGGGGGGTTTAATTACAGCCCTTCACATTCCTCCACCACCTCCACAGACTGCCAGACAATTAGACACGTGCCTTTGAAACATGCGCTCGAGAGACTTGAGCTGTCTTCATTCGCCAGCCTCCATATAGAATATATGTGCCTCTGGAGAATGACACACCGGTCAAGCAAAGTCCATCTCATCCAGAGCTAAGCAGCAATCAC